TGGACCGAACATATCAGGGAAGGTGACAGGAACAATAAATATATATGTATAATGTACTTACTTATGTGGGTCTGGGAACCAGATGTGAACCGGCCTGTGAGGAGGATCAGGATGTCCAGAATGTATGTTGAATGGCGGCAGCCTCATATTTCCGCACCCCTACTTATTTTGTAAAATGGTGCCCCCATGATTTTTTTTGCTAGTGTCACTTTTAAATAATGCAGCAGTTGAATCGTTTATTAACTTAAAGAGAACTAGGAGCTTTTAAACTAGATAATGGGGGAGGGTAAAATAAAAACCAAAAAATTTAATATTAAACAACCACTCGTGAAAGATAACATAGAAGGAACAAATACGCGATTAGATAGTGGGGTAACTCCAGTCAACGTAGTGAAAGTAGTAAATCAAGCCAATATAGAGAGCATACTAAATGTAGTCAATAAAGTAAATCTAATTGCCTAAGGTGATCCAAGTAGGAATGGACCAACCGTAACCGGTACAATTAAAATTAGTAGTGGGGAGCAAGAGGGAAACAAACGTTTAACCAGTAAATGAACAAAAAATAAATGTATGTTCACCAATGCTAGAAGTCTAGCAAATAAAATAACAGACCTTGAAGTTATGTTACTCGAGGAGAACTACGATATATTAGGAATAGCAGAAACATGGTTAGACTGCACACATGATTGGGCTACTAACATAGAAGGGTACAACCTGTTCAGGAGGGACAGGCTGGCAAGAAGGGGGGTATGTATATATTCTAAAAATAACCTCATTATGCACATCCGTGACGATATTGCGTCAGCTGGTGGGGGATGATGCGGAATCGTTATGGCTAGAACTAGATAGACCTAACCCTAACAGTAAACTTATTGTGGGTGTCTGTTATAAACCTCCAAATATAGGGGAAGAGGAGGAGGCCCACCTACAATCCCAAATAGAAATAGCGGGGAAACGGTAATGTGGTGATGGGAGACTTCAATTACCCAAGCATAAACTGGGCTAATGGAACTTCCCAATCGGCAAAGGCTGCCCGTTTTCTTAATATGTTGCGAGACAATATCATGGATCAGATGGTTGAGGTCCCGACTAGGGAAAATGCCATTCTAGATCTGATCATCAGCAATAATACAGAATTAATTGAGGATATTGTAATCGGGGAGACACTGGGCAATTGTGATCACAAGGTAATTGCTTTCAATATTGGGTGCAATAAAGGGAAGGGTGATGGGCGGACGAGAAGCCTAAACTTCAGGAAGGCCAACTTTGATAAACTACGCAACATAGTGGGTAAAATCGAATGGGAAAACTTATTTGATAAGCTAAACTTTGACCAGAAGTGGGACTTTTTCAAGAACAAATTAAAAAAAGCTATTACCAGGTGTATACCGCTGGTTAACAAAAGTAAAAGATCAAAAACAAAGCCAATATGGCTAAATAAAACGGTAAAACAACACATTAAGGAAAAAAAAGTAGCATTTAGTAAGTATAAAATGGAGGGGACAGTATTGGCATTCCAAAACTACAAAGAATGTAACAAAAGATGTAAACTGGTAGTCCGGGCAGCTAAAATTTGATTGTGAGAAATATATCGCCGAAGTTAGTAAAAAGAACCCCAACATTTTTTTATCAGTACATAAACAGTAAAAAGGAACAGATAGGCCCAATAAAGGACATAAATGGGTCGTTACTCACAAACGACAGGGAGAGTGCCGAGGCGCTAAAATACTTTCTTCTCGTCGGTATCCACCGAGGAAACAGACGGGTTTAATGTACATGATAAAACACAATTTAACAAGAAATAAACCTGAGTGGTTGACTGAAACTGGGATACAACATAGGCTTATACTACTAAATGCAAATAAAGCATTGGGACTTGAAAATCTACATCCCAAGTTACTCAAGGAACTCAACAAGGAGATAACGAGACCATTGTTCCTCATGTTTAAGGAATCCGTAATGGCTGGTAGAGTGTCAAGCGACTGGCGAAGGGCTAATGTGGTACCTATATTCAAAAAAGGGTTAAAATGCCAACCGGGGAACTACAGACCAGTTAGTCTGACATGCATAGTGTGTAAAACTTATTGAGGATTACTTGGTGAAATGCCAGTGAATAGCCATGTCTCAGTGTTTGCTGATGATACGAAAATCGGGAGGGTAATAGACACGGATTCAGACATTGTAACATTACAGGAGGACCTGGAGAAAATCGGGGAATGGGCAACTGTATGGCAGTTGAAGTTCAATGCCGATAAATGTAAGGTAATGCACCATGGAGTTAAATATAGGCAAGTGGACTATACACTTATGGGTGTGCCACTAAGGAAGTCGAAAAGGAGAAGGATTTGGGGGTCATTCTAGACCGCAGATTGAAGAACAGCTTGCAGTGCCAGGCTGCTGTAAACAAAGCAAGCAGAGTCCTGTCTTGCATTAAGAAGGGAATGTATTGCAGGGACAAGTCTATAATTTTGCCACTTTATAGATCACTGGTTCGGCCACATCTGGAGTATGCGGTCCAGTTTTGGTCACCAATATTCAGAAAGGATGTCCTTGAGCTGGAAAAAGTCCAGGAGAGGGCAACCAAACTTATTAAGGGGTTCGAGTACCTGAACTATGAAACAAGGTTGTTAAAATTAAATATGTTCTCTTTGGAGGTTAGGAGATTAAGGGGACATGATCTTCTTGTATAAACTATTCAAGGGTGACAGCAACATTATTAACAAACTGTTTACGGTTAGCTACGTAACAAAGACCAGAGGGCACAACCAAAAATTGGTGTAAAAAAATTTCAACACACAGGGCGCAAGGGGTTCTTCACAGTCAGAGCGGTTCTTCACAGTCAGAGCGGTTAAGGTCTGGAACTCGCTGCCGCAGGAAGTGGAATCATTCAAGAAACTCCTGGACAAGTTCCTCGGAGACCATAATATACAGGGGTATAGGTACGCCTAAGAGCAAAATCACACATAGACTAATACACATGCACACACCTGCTCAAACATAAATGCATACACACAATAGGTTGGACTTGATGGACTTATGTATTTATTCAACCTCAAATACTATGTAACTATGGGGTAACTCTTTTTATCCCATAGTTCTCTTTAGGGTCACGGGAGGACATATATTAACCTCCTCCCATGACCCAAAGCTCGGTATATAGCAGACTATTTCCTGCTATATTCTGAAAATACTGTTGAGATCCACCCAACTGGCTGATAGGCAGAGCCCGCTGTCAATCTAAAGGCAGAGCCAGCTGTGCCCGCCCCTCCCCCGTCTGTTTCTCCAGTCAGCGCTGGAGGATTGGAGAGGAAGTTTCATTGTCACCCGTCGGCTCTAACTATGAGGATGAGTGTAAATTTGCTTTGTAACCCTTCTTGTAACCATCCTTGTGACTGCTTGCCCTTTTTAGGGACTTTCAGTAGGTGTTTGAGAGCATTGACTTTGGCCAGTGGCCTCAGCCCTTGTTCCTATGCTGTTGCTGGTGAGTCATAGCAGAACATTGAGAGCTGGGGGTGTGGCCTAGGGTGAATTTTAACCACCTGCTGTCCGGCTGTTGTAATTAAACAGCCGGACAGCGGCTTCTTGAGAGCGGGTGGGCGTCTTTAGTGGGAAATCGGCTTTGAATGTAAACAGCCAGCGATGGCTGTTTCATACAAGCGTTTGGGCGTAGAGACGCCCGATCGCTTGTAATATGCGTGCAGGTGTGCGCCCCCGCCCGCCGCTGCTGCCGATCCCAAGCTCCGCTGTGCCCAGTGTGAGCCTGGGACAGGCACAGCAGCTCTGCGGACGGAGCTCAGTACACGAGCTCCGTTTTGATCTCCTCCACCTCTTCGGAATGCAGGCAGTGATGTGTATTACATCACTGCCTGCATTCCTCTGTCACTCTCCGGTACAGAAACCGGAGAAAAGCTGATGAAGCCGATCTCTGCTTCATCAGCTTCTCTGGGGGTCCCAAGGTGACATTAGGGCTCTTAAAGACCCATGATGTCTGCATAAAGAGGACCTGTCACTGCAAATTGGCTATCACAAATTGAGCTTGTTTGCTCCCTATGTGATAGCAATAAAGTTCAGTGGAAAAAAAAAAGGTTTAAAAAAATTAAAGTAAAAAAAATATTAAAAGTCACATATCAAAGCAATAAAAAAATTAAAGTCCCCCGCCCAACATGCACACTTAAAAATGCGTCGAGTCTGCCTACATGTGAAAACGACTATTACATCCATTGCGCCGCACATGTTACAGTGAGAACAATAATTCTAGGGCCGTCAATCACTGATAACACTAAACTGATGAGCGGTAAAAGCTTTTAAAGCGTCTGCTGTGGTCAATTTTGAGTGTGGTAGTTTTTTGCGATGTGGCGGGTGCCCGCAATTTTAAAGCTTGACATGTTTGGTGTCTATTTACCCGACGTGACGCCGTCTTTTATATTTTACCAAAAAATTAGGTAACGATAAATGTTTTATAACATAACGTAGGGAGAACAGGTTTTTTTTTTTTCAAAATTTTCTGTACTTTTTTCATTATATAGTTTAAAAAAAAAGTCGAAGTACCACAGCGCTGAATACTGAAAAATGGCCTGGACAGGAAGGTGGTATAAACACCCCGGTCACCTAGTGGTTAAAGTACGCAGTCTCTGTGTGTAGCAGAGTTTTATCCGCATAGTCACTGCTGTTAACTGCTCTCCCCACCTCAATGCCAGTCAGCCCAGGACATGTAGTACAATGGGGTTACCTGCTTCTGCAGGAAGGGACACTCTTGAATTCTGGCACAGTGAAGTTCACTGCGGCCCCTGTGATGATGTCACAAGGGCAAAGAACAGGGTTTCTCCTAGGGAATGGTAAAAACCCCAAAATAAAACACTGTGAAATGCAAATACTGGGGCGGAGGGCTTGGTAATGCACAGATTATGTTTGGCAAGAAAGGTACTTTATGTACAGGTGATCTTTAAAGTATGCTAAATTAAAAATTATTCACAAATGTATTTGTCAAATTTTGCTTTCAGACTTGGGGCCAGTTTTAGCGCGGAGGGTTTTACGCTATTATGGCTGCCCATCTTCAGATTCGAGTTCTGTGGATGACTTGCTTGATAAATGTGATGATTCATTGCCTCATGATGGTTTTGAAGATGTTTTTACCTGCAGTGATGATGTAGACAGTGAAGGTGAGTTATTAGAAATAGTTTAATATATATTTTAGCCACTTTGCATACTGCATTTTTATGTTTCTGTAATTGACTGATTGGGGGGTACCTCCTTTTTCTATTTCCTCTCAATGGTAAAGCAAATTATATTTTGTTTGCATTCTTATATTTGAGCATTCCTTTGCTTAATGCATGGCTAGCATAGAAAGCCATGTTGAGCTAGCCCCAGACACATTCTGCAGTATCACAGGTGTCATTGACCATTAGATTTGAGAATTAATTGTGGATGCATTGTGAAGAACATACATCCACAATATGCATTTATATGAATATTTTTATTAATTTTGCTACTGTACATGGATGTATTTTGATATCCTAGGCAATAATGTCAGGCATATTCAGTTTTATTTTCTTACAATAGTAGTACAGATGTGCAGATTTTGTTTTCTTATTTTATTGACTACTGTGGGTTTCTACACACTGCACAGAATTGCTTTTCTGAATACAGGTTTATTTTTACCAGTCAATAGACAAGTACACCTGTCATGCGAGGAATATGGACAGTGCCATTTCTAGTGCTATATTTTTTTTGACTGTCTGGCTTTTACTTTTCTGAGTCACTGACCCAGAACAAGTATGCAGCAAATGAAAGTCACAGAAAATACATATCTTCTCTTCCTTGTTCTCGGTTACAGAGGGCCAGCATGCCAGCTGAGCAACTTGCATGTTCATAAAGTGAGCTAAGCAATGGAAGCCTGCTTATTTCCTAATCTTTTACTTTCCACCAGATGAGGAGATTTTGCTGACACTACTTAAATTGTTTAGGCTTGTATGTGTCTCCTACATTTTGGTAGGCTTTTTTTTTTTTTTTTTTATAAAAATCAGTGCATATTAATTTATTATGTTTATTTTAAAGGTAGTGATGGAATGTTTCCAGTGAAAAAGTCCCACTCATTTGTGAGTCTTGACATTCACAAGGAAAACTCAAAGCTGAATCGCATAACATCAGGGCAAAGACAGACTAACTCATTGGTATGCTATATTTTATTTTTTACATTATGAAATAAAACTATGTTTACATGTGTACACTTCAAAATAAATTTGTGTTCCGGGAAATGTATTCACTCGTGCAGTGCTAACTGACAAGTGTGCACACTTTTTGATTAGAACTTTTCATCCAGAATATTAGCCTTTCTTCAGATAAAAAAAAAAAAAAAAAAAAAAAAAAAAAAAAAAAATGCAGAATCCAGCAGGGCAACCTTGCATTATTATAGCAAGTATCTTGCGGCTGATTTAATAGAAGAAGGGACCTTGCGCCTATTATCCTCACTTCTGTAGTACAAGTACTATTCACCAACCTTTTCTTTCATGCCTGACAAGGGGCCACATTTTACCTATTGCTGATGAATACCCAAACAGGAATGAGTTAAACAACATGTTAGAGACATTTAGAGTAAAATGGAATAAATACTTGATTGCACATACTTTCTTCATTGATAGTCAGTCTCTGTAATACAGATTTAACTAATACTTGAATGGACCTGCCAGGCAGGGTTTGATCTCCTGTTAATTTTTTACTTGTCCACATCCTTTGTGGGGAAATCCCTTCTGTAACCCTAGCACATTCTAAGCCCTGGTTCACACTTCGGAGTTTTTGAGCAGTTCGAAAAGAGCTTTTAACTGCCCAACACAAGAAATCCCATGATTTTTAATAGCCCTGGTTCACACCTGAGCAAAAAAACACCTAGGAGGGAAAAGCCAGATGCCTGAAAAGATACAAGTGTGCACAACGCGCATAAACGCGCGTACAAATGCACAAAAATTGTGCCTCCTAGGTGTGAATCAGGGATAACGGATTATCTGCAAGTATATAGGCAAAAGTTGGCCAATGACAGCTTACTTAGCCTGTCAGATCCGAGTGGTTATGTGAAAGAGTTATGGTTGGTGAGAAACTTGTCTATCCTTATTCTAAGGCCTCGTTCACCCAGGCAGTGGAACCCTTGCAATTAGTTGCATTTATATGCATTTAGAAAGCTTTTCTAAATGCGTATGTTTTCACCTAATGGTTTCTTGATGGCTTCATTCACATGTCGCGAATGGTTGCGTTCATCTGTGGTCAGATTACCCGCGTTTAGAAAAATAAAAGCCAACCGGGTTATTCACAAAAGGGTGAAGAGTTTGGAGAAAGCAGAAGAAGTGAACAATCTGGGTCAAAATTGCTGTTTTGGAAAAATTCTCCAATTCAGCTCACTTTCCTGTTAATCTATTTAAGCCTAGATTGTTCACTTCTCCTGCCTTCTCCAAACTCTTCACCCTTTAGTGAATAACCCTGCTAGTGTATCTAGGATCTGAATTGAATGTGTGAATGCAGCTAAATGCATGTAAATTTGGGTAAACACACCTAAATGTGGCTAAACCCACTTTTAAATCAGGAACATCTAAATGGAGGAAAAAGTGACCTAGGAATCATGCAAGTTGTTCAGAATTCCTAGATCACTTCTCCTGTGTTTAAAAAACCTAAAATGCATGAGTGCAAACGTGAATTAAAGGACAACTATGGGGTGAGTGAAAAATACTCATCCCTATAATTTAAGCCGACCTGTGACACTGAGACTGTCACAGGTTGGCTCTATTGATCGAGAAGTAGGCAAACGCATACCGCCGATCGATGAGTTCCCTGTCCACTCCCTGCAGAGTGTATATGTGTTTATTGATTCTGCGCTAGATGGGTGAAACAAAAGTGCTCTGTCTTAAACTAAACTAAGTTATTAAATAAGAAGGCTGCGGCAATAAGGACCAATAAAGGTCAAATCGTATATGTTTTCAATATATGCAGCGCCAACGAAAAATGGTGGATAAATTGAGTGAATGTGGTTAAGACAATATACCGCAAACAATAAACAATAAATGATGTACTGAAATTGTGTTAATCCGTGAATCAATCAAACTTAATAAAAATGTGGAAATATACAACGAATGTACATTTATACATATCAAATAAATTGAAAAAGTTTTTTAAGACAAGTGCTGTGTACTTCTTTTTTCAAACACCATGGGTGCAATAAGGTGTTCCAAGTGTGGAAAGTTTATAAATTCAAAGAAACAGAAAAATGTTCCGTGATAATTGTTGTAGTGGCTGTAGTAAGAGGCCTGAAACGATTTGAAGGAAACAGATTTTCCCGGAGCCGTGACGTCCTCGCCGTAACTCTCAACGGTCCCCAGCCAGCAGCCGGTTTGTCTCCAAAATCATATAAGAAAAGAGCCTCTCATTGCGTAGCAAATTCAAAAAAGATTTTATTTGAATCAAGTAAAAGCAGGACAACGAAATCCAAAATAATATTCCGATCGGCAGACAGGATACTCTGTAAACTCCTGTGTCTGGTGTAGCATAAAGTTAGGCCCGCCCCTACGCGTTTCGTCTTACTGACGTCCTCAGGGGTTTAGCAGGTATAACTTGCCATACCAGATCCCATCTCTATATAGTATCAATAATTAGCCAATTAGTGGTAAATTGCCATCCAGTATCATTTAGTCTGGCAGAGTTACAAGTATAAAAGCCAACCTTTAGACTATATAAATTATGACCAGAACATGCATGATTAAATGTTAAACTATATAAATTACGACTTGCATGATTAAATTAAAAGCTAGACTAACACATAATGAGTCAATCTTCAAACATTAATAAAACAATAATAAACATAAAACCATGATGAACATGATAAAAAACTGATAGAATGCATACATGATAAATGAAGTCGTATGAATATTAATAGTAAATATGAATAATACATATACATATTTAGTTAAAATCATTATATGCTATTTAATAAAATTTAAATTCTAAAACTTTTAAATTGGATATATGTAGACCTATATAGGTATACTAAACAGGAACATCTAAAAGAGGGGGGGTTTGACAGGTGTTAAAATTCTAATAATAAAATTATGCAATTATAGACACAGAGTGTAGTGACTGTCAGGGATCCCCCCCTCCATTTTTCCAGCGCTGACTCCAGGAGCAGACTGGGGAGGGGGCAGGCACAGCTGGCTCTGCCTCTCTAGGAGCCAGCCAGGATGGTGAATCTCAACAGTAGCAGCTCTGCACTCTCAGCATATAGCAGGCAATAGCCCATTATATACTGGGTTTTGGGTCACCAGGGGGTTATTAGTATATGTCTTCCTGTGACCCTGAAGAGAACTATGGCTAAAAAAGGTTGGCCCATAGTTCTCTTTTAAGCCTAATTCTAGTGCCTGCCTTGTTCTTGTCACCAACTCCGCAAAATGAACAGTGCAACACATGCATGGTGAATGGTTTGTTCTAAAAACAAAAAGACAACTGTTGCAAAATCTCCTTGTAAAAATAAGCACGTATGACACTTGAAAGTGCTAGCTGTTGTCCCTTACAAGATCTGACTGTCACAATCTTGATGCTTGAAATTGTCTTGCTTGCTTCTGGTGAGTTAAAGATGTCTTATTTTATTTATTTATTTTTTTATTTCCATTATTACCTTTTTAATGTTCTCTTTTACAGAGTGCATTTGGAGATGAATCTGTACGTTGCAGAAAAGATTTTGTTAGCCTTGATTATCCGGGTAGGTGGATGTGTATATTATATAAACTATTTTTACATCCATACGTGTACATTATTATACCTTTTTGTGATTCCAAAATTAACACAGCTATTCGTTTCAGTGAATACATTCTAGTGAGCTACCCCATGGTGAAATGGGGAAGTGTCTAGTTGCTTAGTACACTTTGTTGGATAAGTTGTACATTTTACAGTGTCTCTTTTTTTTTTTTTTGTGTGTGTGTAGTTTATTTCTTATTGGAGATCTAGTTAATTGCAGTTAAAAGCACTTTCTTCCTTAAAGGAGAACTATGGGGTTAGGGCTTTTCCCCATAGTTCTCCTTAGGGTAACAGGAGGACACAAACTAGCGTCCTCCCGTCACCCTAAGCTCAGCATACCGCGAGCTTCAGCTCACGGTATACTGAGACGCCGCAGCTCGCGGTATATTGAGATGCTGAAGCGGATTTAGACAATCGTGTCTGGATCCGCCCAGTTGCGTGAGTGACAGCTGGCTCTGCCTATCTAGAGGCAGAGCCAGCTGTACCCGCCCCCTCCCCGGCCGTTCCGCCAGTCAGCGCTGGAGGATCAGAGGGGGAATCCACCCCCTCCCCTGTCACGGCAGAGAGCAGTGACAGGGTCGAGAAGTGAGCGAACGCCGGTATGTGTTCACTCACTTCCCGATCTACTGAGAATCACTCATCTCATAGTTCACCTTTAATCAAGCACAAAGGGTAGGGGATGGACTATTTTTAGAAAAATTAAGCACTTGATCTTGATTTAAAGGAGGCGGTCTTTTGTGGTCTTGATGCTCTTTTGACAGATATTTGTATTTTTGTGTAACAATACTGTGTTCATTGTTTTAAATGTATGTATGTTTTTTTTTTTTTACATTCCTTGCTGTGACCTTTTTTTTTTCTTTCAGTTTTAGCGCTGAGGTTTCCATTGCACATGAAGCGAACTGACAGTTCCTCTTCGCTGATAGAAAAAGAGCACATTCGTTCCCTAGATCTGTCTGCAAATGACCTGAAAAACATAGACTTAATAAATAAAAAATCTCTTCTTACAAATCATTTGGAACGCCTTGAGAAAATGGAGCTTCAGCAGAACAGTTTAACATCTATACCAAAGTCTCTCTGTGAGGTAATGAAACAAAACAATAAGTATTTGCTCATTATTATCAAACATATTTTCCTTCCTCTTTATTCAGATAGTTATTCACAGTAAAATTTGTTCTTGCCTTGAATTCTGTGAAGGTTCATCAGAATGTTAGTGTTGGCACCTATTACTCAATATAGTTGGTGATCTTGTAGAGCAGTGGTTCTCAACCTGTGTAACCTCGGGACCCACATGTTTCCTTGGTCATATCTCTACCCGGGCCACATGACTTTATCGGAGAGCCCGGGGGAGAGGGGACAGTTTGACATTATGAGGTTCCCACAGGCTGAACCACAAATTCCCCCTCTAGTTCTCTCTAATGCAGATGGGCCGGTCTATGCAGACATGACACCGCGACCCACTGCAGAGGGTGTCGCGACCCACTTTTGGGTTGCAACCCACGAGTTGAGAACCGATGTTGTAGAGCACCCCCGGAGCCATAAAACCATGTTGCTCTAACATGACTTCATGGAGGAAGTCGAAGCTTGTATTTCTCGTGGTGAACGTTACTGAGCTTAAGGTCACAGAAGGGGATGGAACAAAGCACCAACTTCTAGTGGCAGTCATTACTTGCACTAGTATAGCGTACTTGCTTTTGGGACTTCCTTGGCATTTCAAAAGATAGATGCGCAGTCGCACAGTCATTAGCTGTGTGCATGCACCTTCTGGTGTCACTTTAAAAAATCATGGTCAGTACATACACTTGTAAAATTAGAACTCCGGGAAGAAATAACTATGCAGATAACCTATTCATTAAGAGGTGGTTAGACCCGGAGAAACAGCATTGAAACAATAAATTACAAACAGCAGCTAGCAAAGCAAGCAAGTAGTTCAGTGCAAGTATCTTGCACTGAAAAAAGGTATTTTTCCCGAGGAATAAATCAATACTCATACCCCTTTACAAAACACTGGTTCAGCCTCATGTTGACTACAGTCTACTTTTGGTCATCCATCAACAGGAGGGATGTCCAAGAATTGGAAATAAACCCAAGAAAGGCAACAAAATTAATTAGGGGGCTGGAGGACCTCAGCTATAAGGAACGATTAAGTAAATTACATTTATTCACCTTAGAGAAGAGGTGCTTACAAGGAAACATGGTTGCTATCTACAAGTTAATCAATGGTGGCTGTAAAGCCAGACACAACTTGTTTAATCACAGATGCTTGATGAGGACATATCACAATTTAGGGTTGGAGGAAAAGAGGTTTAATCTGAAATTGCGGAGAGGGTACTTTACGGTCAGAGCAGCAAAAAATGTAAAATCCCTTCCCTAAGTAGTGATATCAGCTTGACAGCTATCTGCTATTCCTTATGAAAAACAAAATACAAGGATATGTATACTCCTAAAAAAACAAACGGTCAATCACACAAATGGAAACACGCACACATAGGTTGAGCTGGATGGACTGGTCCCTTTAAACCTTAACCAGTTGACATCTGCGGTGTTAAACCCCCTTCCCATCCAGAATATGAGGTGAGTGAATATCACTCATCCTCATAGTTCAAGCCGACATGTGACAATGGAACTGTCACACGTCGGCTCAAAAGATCGGGAAGTGAGTGAACACATAACGTTGCTCACTCACTTCTCGATCATCTCCCTGCAGACAGCAGTGACTGTCAGTCACGGCTTCCTGCAGGGGTTCCCCCCACTCCCCGCTCCAGCGCTGACTGGTGGAACTGACGAGAGAGGGGGTGGGTACAGCTGGCTCTGACTCTAGATAGACGGAGCCCGCTGTCAGCAAGCTGGATGGATCTCGACAGTAATGTCGAGATCCATCCCGGCTATGGCGGCCTCAGTATACCACGAGCTTTAGCTCGTGACATACTGAGCTTTAGGCCACGGGAGGATGCTAGTCTATGTCCTCCCGTGACCTTTAAGAAAACTATGGAGAAAAACACTTACCCCATAGTTCTCTTTTAACAACTACTGTATTTAATTTGTTGTGGGCCCCCTTTACTGCAAAGGGGTAGAGGAATAAGGTGTAATACTTAACTTACTCCTTGCTCTGGCAGGCTACTTCTATCTGGGTAAAAGCTTCAGGGGCCAGTTACAAAGTGCTCCGAGCTGGCAGTCGCAAGCTGACTTAATCAATTACAACGCAATTAATTGTAAATAGTCTAGTTACGCATTCTATGTTTAATTCAAGTGAGTGTGTGATACCCTTTCAAATTGTTATTAGTGGTGCCATGACCTGTGGGCTTGACTAGATCTTTAAGCTCATTCCATGGTAAAATAGGGCTATCTGGTGGGACTTAAAGATGGTTAGTCCAAGCTTTAATAGGAATGGTCATGTGATGAAAGCATACAATAATTGAATGAAATGATCATATGACTGGATTTTTGTCTCTTCCCGAAGAATTCTGATAATGTTGGGTCATACTGCCGTCTATAGGAGGATTGGACACTGGCAAACAAAAGAAATTGTGGGCCAGCCCAATGCTATCCCTTCTAGTTACAGCATGCCAGCATTTTTTCCTTGGAGGATAGGAGTTTTTATTTTTTTCCGTTCTACTGAGAAAATTCTACCCTTCTTTTTTTTTTTTTAAAGTGCTTTTTTTTTTTTTTAATCTTCCTGAACATTATTATTTCTTCACTGGATTCTTCCATCAAAATTCCTCTCCTCATCACCGCTTGAGATGGACTCTATATTGCAGTTATCTGAAATGTTGTTTCCTCAGCAGTAGTTTGGGAGTATGTACCTGCACCCTGCTTGACTGAACATGCCAGGCTAGCCTGGAACGGGACCTTTGGGCACTGGGTCTTACATTGTGGTTCTTCTCAGACCTGCGTGCACTGTGTACAATGTAAGTTAGCCGCCTATTTGCTTCCAGGTGCAGAGCCTCGCACAGCCCCTGGGGTTACTCTGTTTATGAAGACTCACTGAGATGAGTAAGGCAGGTTGGGGGAAAAAATGCTACCTTATTATAGCACTGCTGAGTGCCTTTCAGATTTGCCACCACATTAAGGGTTAACGCTGAGGGACTAAACGTGGACATCATCCACTGGTTGGAGTGTTGCAGCGTGTCCTTTCTTGCCACTCAGTGTTTGGGAATCACCATTCCACTGCTGCTCCTTTGTATAAGCACTACGTGCAACTTAGACTTTTGGCTTGTTCATATTGCTCACCTACAGGCGCACCCACAGTTCAGAGTTTTCTAGAACTGTTCTCCTTCAAAAGAGCATTTGCTGGATTATAGTTTTTATACTCACTGTGAATCCACCAGTGAAGAAACTACCAGACAGGTAACTGTCGAACCGTGACTCAATGGGATAAATCCCTTTTAAAGATCTCTCCGCCATCGGGGTAGACCCCTCTTTAGTTAGCGGTTGGAGGAGATGTCTGGAGCCTTGCACATAAGTTTTGGTGGCTTTTTATAAGCTCTAAAATTCATGTCCCCCATGAGTCTGTTGTCTATACAGATACGCAGAGCACTGTGGTTAAGGTGCTGGGATGACGATGCCTCTTTAGAGCATCTAACTCACCTAGTCTTTTAAAGATATTGGTATTGATATTCTTGAAGTTCTACTTGGTGGAGATGGTGACCTGATGCTGATCCTGCAGGGGGCAGCTTAACCCAAAAGGGAAATGCTTCTTATATCCCTCAGTGGACTCCAAGAAAATAAAGAAAATAATTTTTCAGTTAGTACATAAATCCTATTTTTTCTGTGTGCCCATTGAAGGGCAGAGCACCTGCCCCACCTGCTTTTGCTGCTGCATCCTGTTTAAATATTTTGTTTTTTGCACTCCTATATCCGTTAACTGAGCTTGTTCCCCAGTCTTGTGGGTTTGGTCCACCAGCAAGGGTGTCCCCTGGGCTGTTTTTATTTATTTATTTATTTATTTATTTTGCTCCTGCTGTCCTACTTCTGCAGGTGGCACTATACCCGGTAGGTGATTTACAGTAGAGAATCAGATTTTACAGCGAGTACAAAAAAATCCTACTTTTTTATGATATGGACCTTTTTGGCATTTATTTAATCAAATCTCAGTTGAATGGAGAGCCTGCCCCACCCACCATGGCAAGCTTTACCTGTAGATTGTTTCCTTTTCTTTCTATGGTAAATTTTGTTATAAAATGGTTGGATTTCAGTTTTGCATGCAAGTTAAGTAATTGTAATAAATAATTTTGCATATTTTAAACCTAGGCTTTAAAGTCTTTGACTTACTTGGACTTGCGTAACAATGGCTTCACATCCTTCCCTACTTGTGTTTTGGAGATGAGCAGTATTGCATTCCTTGACATATCAAGAAATGAAATTGGACCTTCCCTTGACTTGAACACAAATGCTGTTTGTCTAACCTTGAAGCATCTTAACCTTTCATACAATCAGTTGCAAAGTTTTCCTGACTGTGTTGGAAAAGTTACTCAAAGGCTTGAAGAGTTGATCCTTGAAGGGTAAGTTGTTTCTAAGATCAGTTTTAAAACAATTTTTTTCTTTTTATATTGGGAAACGTTACATGTTTCTAAATGTCAACACCACATTTTAGTATTATACATCTGTGTGCTTCATCATAACCATTGTGATGTTATATTGGCGCCCTGAATGTGTGTACCCACAGTTATTGATAATCTTCATGTGTGCTTTTCTCTAAATCCCCCTGCAAAGTCCAACAAATGCCTGTTAAGCCTGTCAATGAAGTCCACCTAATGCAGCTTCATCCGATGGTGTGGCAGTGATGCTGTACTGTTCCTTAATTCAGAATTGTCACTGTCATGTTGGCTGTGCCTGTTTGCACGGCAGTGAAATGGAAACATTTTGCAGAAGCTGTGGGTATTAGCATTGTTACAGCTGATTTACAAGTCTGTAGCTTGCCAGTCAACACCTGACCACACCTAGTCCTGCCCACTAATTTCTCGATTCACAGCAGTACCTCTTTTGCTGATACCTCCCACTATGAGCTGCAGTGTCTAGGAGAGGGTGTGTGAGAGACACTAATGAAGGAGGATTTGGCTCATTCAGGGAATGTTAAAGGAAGTTTTTTGTTTTTTTTTGTCTACTTTTATGAGGCTTGTGCATCACATAGTAACTGGATTAGATTTATGTTTACATTGTCATACAGGAGCCTTAAGTTGCACTTTTAACACACATGAATGTAGAGCCTTTGCCCCTGATGTATGTTACATGCACCGCTGTGAATGTGTTTTGTAGAAGTAATGGTCCTTATGCAATACTTAATACATTCTTACGCATGTGAATGTTTTTTTTACTATACTCTATTGATATTTTTTTAAACAGAAACAGCATTTCTGAAATCTGTACAGCAATTTGCTTACCTGAGCTACAAACACTGAATATGAATAAAAACAAGATAACTTCACTTTCTTCTGATTGCCTCCATAACTGTGCAAAGTTAGAGATGTTTTGTGCGATGACAAACCAACTAGGTAACAATTATAATTTGCTATTATCCATTTGTGCTTTTTTCATTCATGTAATGTTTGTAAGTTGCAGAAGTGCAAGTAATGTTTACATGCATACAAGACTCCAGAGCTTCATGGAATTCTTCATTTAACCTTTTAATGACCGAGGCCTTTTTTTTTTTAGTTTTTTGCACCCATGTTATAATCCACACTTTAGGCCTGAAAATTACTTCAAATTCCAAAACATTATATATTTTCTGAAAGCCAAGACCCTGTAGAATAAAATGTTGTCAGTTGCAAATTTTTATGTTGCACAATATAAGCGCAACGTATTAACAAACCCAAACATTTTGTGAAAAATGCACTTAAGTTAAATTTAGTGCCCAAAACACAATAAAATACCCATTTAAAAAAAATAAAATATAAAAGAGGGGGTTATAATGAGTAAATAGATACCCAACATGCCCAGGATAAAAATTGTGTGCGTCTGTAAAACGGTGACAAATTCAGTACCTCAAAAAGTCAATAGACTATGCTTTCTCTCACTATGGCATGCACAGCGATACCCAACATGTGTAGCGCGATCATCTTTTTAGTATGTAGGAGCACCCAGCGTGTGTTTACATTATGACGGGCGTGCTCGCGTGTGCAGGAGACTTAAAATAATTTTTACATTTATTTCATTTAATATTATTTTTAGAGATGCACCGATATATCGGCCGCTGAAACATATCGGCCGAAAATTGCACTTTTGGCATAGTGCCAAAAGTGACGTTTTCTGGCCGATACCGCGGTGCATCTATTCTTTCTCTCCTCCCCACTGGGTGCTGCTCTGTGCCCTAGCCGGGAGGAGAGAAACTGTCACAGGCGGCCGAGTTCTGCGGAAGGAGAGCAATGTGAGCGGCCGGCGTCTCTCCTCCCACACCGCTCAGCCTCCTGCCACAGAGGAGAGCAGTGTGGACGGGGACAGCCAGTGCTGTCACAGGAGGCTGAGCTCCACTCGCTCAGCCTCCTGTGACAGCGTGCCAGGAAGGAGAGTGTTACTCACTCAGTGCCAGCACTTAGTGATCGCTGATTATTTGTAAATAATTGAGGACAGAGTATGGTTACTATATCCTCAATTTATGAATGAATGGGAAGTGATCTACATCACCTCGTGTTCATTCATGATTGTGGTTATAGTAAACACACTATGTCCTCATGTTATGAATGAACAGGAACACTCAGTATAGAGGATTCCTGTTCATTGATAACTGGGGATGCAGAATAGGAGATTGAGGACTCTCTTTTTTCTCTTTTAAAAGGGACATATCAGGGGTCTGTTTAGACCCCTAACATTACCCCGAAGCCACTAAAAGTAAAGTAAAAAATTTAAATATTTAATTAAAAATGACTAGTTTTTTTAAAAACTAGTTTTTTCCCCCCTTTTTTTATATGTGACTTTTATTTTATTTTTTTTACATGTTTCATTTTTTTGCACTTATTGTTGTTATTATATAGGGGGATAACAATCCCCCTATATAATAGCATTCTGCCCGTGCGTGCCCGCTAGGGGACGCGCGCGAGCAGAAAAAAAATGCCTTCCGGAGACGGCAACCCGCCAATGCTGAAGTGCCGTCCGTCCGTTTTTTTAAAACGGGCGGACGGCAAGAGGTTAAAAAACATTTTCGGTTTCAGCCTGACATTTTTAAAAATTCGGTTTTGTTACGGTTTTGAAATTTTTCATTTCGGTGCATCTCTAATAATTTTTTAAAAACTGCTGTTTTTACTTTTTTCTACTTTACTTTAATTGCTATCACATAAGGGGGCTTACAAGACATCATGTGACACAAGGTGCCCCTAAATATTTTGCTCCTTAGTCCTGACCAGCACTATACCCCTCTATCAGAGGAGCATTATCTTTCTTGTAGAAAAGCTGAACTGCAGTTTTCACTTCTTTGACCAATCCTCTGTCAATGCCAAATCATGTTCCATGTAACGAACACCTCCAGGATTATAAATTCTATTGTACATCTGCAAAAATACATACCTTGCCCAACAGACCTTTTAGTTCTATCACTTACAAACAGATCAGCTATAACAGTACCTAGTAGACATGTGCGATTTGTTTCGTTCCAAATCGAAATTCGGACGAAATTTCGAAGATTCGTATGTATCTGAATTACAGATATAACAAATGCAAACGAATCTGAATTTCAAATTCGTTTTTTTTTGGACGAAATTTCGTTGTAGCAAAGTGACATTTAACCACTTGAAGACCGCGGTGTTTCACCCCCTTCCTGGCCAGGCCATTTTTCAAGGAGGGGCAGAACGTCTTAAGATGCCCTCCCGCTCCTAGCAGACGTCCGTCTGGCTGTTCACAAACGGCCATGGACGGAAGGTGGTTAAGAAAAAAAAAACGTTTTTTTCCTCTTAAATGTCACGTTACTGCATCGAACGAACAAAGCGAAAACAAAACAAAATTTTGTACGGATTACCGCTAACTAATTTGGTCCGGATTCCGAAACAAATTGACTTTCGGACCCAAATTCCGAAAAACGAAATAAAGGAAAATCCGAATCGAAACAAAACAAATTTTTTGCTGGTGCACATGTCTAGTACCTAGTACAGAGCCTTGTGGTATACGACTGGGGACTCTCTGACTGGCCCATTTACAACTACAATCTGATATCTATCCTTTAGTCAATTGTAGGGCTGCAACTAATGATTATTTTCATAATCAATTGGCCGATTTTTTTATTTTTAACATTTTTGGGGGATAAATACAATACACAAATGCAGTGTTGCAAACATAAAGTTTACTTCAGAATAAAACTGCATGCATGATTTTTTGCAATCGCACTACACTGGAATGCACAGCATTTCGGTACCGTGTGTCCCAGTGAGGGCGATAACACTGTGGGTGGGAGGCACGTTTTCTGGTGCCTTTGAAATAAATGGCACTGCAACTCACCTCCCACAGCAGAATTTGTAAGGCCGAAACCGAAAATTACTTTTTCCCAACCTTTTTCATATAGTTTGTTTTATAAATAATTGTATTGTAAGCACATGACGCTTGAATAGCTTCAGCCAGGGAATGACAGCTGCCAGTGGCAAGATTCTGCAGATGGCAGCTGAATGTAAATACAGCAGGTAGTGGACTGGTGCAATAGTCAGCCTGCTTTTGGCCATTTCAAATTGCAATAGCCAATAGCAGGCTGGCTATTGCACCCGCCCACTGCTTGGCACAGCGTGGAGGAGTGAGCTAGGGGATCCAACCAACTAATCGATAATGAGAATTAACAACTATTCTCATAATTGATTATTATTGATTTAATCGATTAGTTGGTTGCAGCCCTAGTCAATGCCTGTTCCAAAATATTTGTGTATTAATTTTGCTTTATTCTTAGAACTTATTATTTTTAACTTCTTATGCATAACCTGTATGTTTTTTTTTTATTTTTTTTATTTCAGCTTTACTACCCAGTTTGCCTTTGAAATTAACTACATTAAGGTTGTCTCATAATACATTTAAAGTTGTACACAAAGAGATCCTTCAACTTTCGCAGTAAGTTCATATTCTGAAAACTGAACATGTCCAATCAATTGCAGTTCCATTTTATTATACTCCTAAAACATTTGTATCAAGAAATACATAAATGACACAATGCATTAAGATTTAGGGTAGGGATGCACAGATACCAGTTCAAATACCAGTGCCGCTACTTGACATTTTCAGGAGAACTACCAGGGTTGCAGAAGTTGCAGCTGTGACAGGGCCCTGGTGTCCACCACTGTCCTCAAATCATTAGTCTGTATTGTTTTAGAAAAACTGTCACATGACCATAAAAAAAAGATTGGTATCTATGAGGACAAGTATTGGTACTTGGCCTGGAAAAAATAATATCTGTGCATCCTTAATAAAATAAATCATAAATCAAAACATGGATGCACAAAGCTCAGTAACCCCGTAGCCAATGCTCCTTTAAAAATGACAGCTGCCTCCTAACTTTTGAGCTTTTCTCTAGTCTTGGAGCTGGAAAAGTACAGTAGTTGGTATCTGTGCATCCCTTATTTAGGGCATAGGTAGGAACAAAAGGTTTATGCAGGAGGATGTGCCTTATTTTTTCATGACTGATTCAGTGTTTATGCATTTTTTTTATGTTGGGAGGATTTTATTGATAAGATTACAAGGAAATTTTTTTATACAGGAAAAATATATATATTTTTCTTTAGAAGGAGCTGTGTTAGATCTTATGATCATTAAATGTTTCTAAATAACATGAACAGATATGTAAATGTATATAATCTTAGTTTAGTTATAGGTACATCAGGGGTCAAAATTTCAAGTCCTGAGCTACTAGCCAGGCCTTAAGAGTTTCTCGCCACCAGTTGCCCACCAAACCCCTACCCTCCCGTGGCCTTAACTCCGCCCCTTAACACACCCTTTTAAATATTCTGATCAATGAGACTGTTACATGTTTTATGCAGAATAAAGTTACAAGAATAAATATTAACAACTTTAACAATATTACCATAAAGCTCCCTGCCCCCTCTCTGCCCCCTAAAATAATACACCCCCCTGTTCCGTGCCCCCTGCCCACGTATAAAATAATACACCCGCCCCTGTTTCGTGCCCCCCACACATAACACAATCTCCTCCCCTTGCTCCCTGCCCCCACAATGTAAAATAATACAAGGAAGCCCCTCGCCTGCTTGTCTTTCTGCAGGGAGGAGGAGGCGAGCAGGCAGATCCCTGGTGATCTAGTGTGATTAGGAAGGTCTGCAGACCTTCCTAATCACTTCGTTTTCGACCCGGAGCTCAGTGAAGAGCTCGGCAGACAGGAAGGGAGACAGACCAGCAGGAGCAGCTGCTCCCACGAGTCAGGTACGCGGTCTTAGACCGCAAGCCTGACAGGAATTTCCACTCGCCTGCACTGCATTTCCACTCGCCAAATGCGAGCAGGCAAGTGGAAATTTTGAGCCCTGTAGTAATGTCCATGTATTTTATGTCAATTTGTAGTTACAATTGTTAAAGAAGAACTCCGGGGAAAATTTTGATTAACCTTTGCAGTGGGGCTACCCCTGCACTGCAAGGGTTAACTGCTCATTTATTTTTAGGTACTAAAAAAAAAAATTAAAAGTTTTACTCGCCTGGTCATTCAAGCTGTCTTTTCATAGACCGGTCCTTTAGAGCCGCTCTCCTCCTCTGCAGTGGTCTAAGAATCCTTGTGTCATCACATTCTATAAAAGTGTATAGACATGAGAGTGCTGAGGAACATACCATCTGTGCAGCCTAGACTAAAAGGAGCAGTTAAAATTATATTCAAGTCAAAAGGATTTAAAGCTATTTCAAATGCTGATTAAATCACTTACAATGAATGTTGCTCTTAGGGCCTGTTCACAAGAGTTTCAGGTCCGGATCAGGTGCGGATCTGCAGACGCGGTGCTATGTGTTTTGCTGCGTTTTTGATGCGTTTTGCGTTGTTTTTTTTTGCTGGAGTGGGGCTGTCAATATGTTGGCTGCAGTGCAGTGCATTTTTGACGCGTTTTGCGTTTCCGGACCGTTTCCTGACCATACAAAATGTGACATGCAGTATTTTTCTGTCATAACCTGATCGGACTGCGCACGTGAGAACTGTAGCCCATAAAACACATAGGGATGCATTTTTAGTGCAGGAGCGTACGGATCAGGTCAGCACAGAAAACGGACGTCGTGTGAACAGGCCATAAAAGTTTTTGCTACCTGCAAAATCAGCTGAGCACTAGTCCTGACTCCCTGTTTTAGAGTGACTCCTTTCATAAGCAGAGTGCCATGCAGTCACCCGCTAGTAAGCTGTGTGTGTTTCCACAATCACACATACAGAGCGAATCAAGCTAATCCCTTTCCTCCTGGCTCCCTCCCCCCTCTTCTCCACTCTAGTAGATGAACAGTTGCTGGAGTCTGCACTGTCCCTTGTAATTTTGTCCAGGACAGTAAGTCTAGGGAAGCTGAGAGACTTGCAAGCAGCTGTTCAGAAACATGATCATTGTGTTAGGGCAAAAATGTAAAGCAATGCTTTGCTGGACAATGTTTATTTGTTTGATCTGGATTCATTTGTTAAAATAATGTTTGAAAGTGTATACTACTTTAACTCTTGCAGTGCCGGGGTAGCCCCACTGCAAGGGTTAATAACATTTCCCCCTAAATTAAACAATTAGTTTAGTTCTAGGTATGGTATATTATTTCTACTATTAGAAAAAGTAATATACATGCATTTTATATCAATAATGGTGGGGTTACATTCGTTAAAACAAAAAAATAGAAATTAAAGAAACAAAATGGAAGTCTGTCTGAATAAAGTAGCCTTTCCCTTGCCACTTATCTTTCTTTCATGGCCAGAAACCCTAAGAACCTGTCTTTATTAACAAGTTCAGGATAGCATTTGTAGTTAGTCACACCTTGTACCAAAATAAAATCCCAGCAAACCATAGTTGGAAAGTTGTGAATGGGAGCTGGTAAAGTCACACATTGCTTAAAGGAGAACTATGGGGTTAAGGCTTTTCCCCATAGTTCTCCTTAGGGTAACGGGAGGACACAAACTAGCGTCCTCCCGTCACCCTAGGCGCAGTATACCGCGAACTGTAGCTCGCGGTATCCTGAGACGCCGCAGTATACCACGAGCAGCTGCTCGCGGTACACTGAGACGCCGCAGTTGAAGCGGTCAGCTGGCAGGGCTTTCATCTAGAGCAGTGGTTCTCAACCTATGTAAACTTGGTGCTATGTTTTTGTAAGCTCTTTTGTCATCTGAATGTACTTTATCCATAACACAATTTTTGTGTGAATATTGAGTAAGGTTATTAGACTTTGTCCCAGATGTTATTTCCTGCTGCTAGGCCAGGATTCTAGTTGTTCTGCAGCTTATTTGAACTGTTTTGAGCTGTGCACAGATTCTGTTTGCATTATTTTGCATATTGTGGTACACTATCCCGTATGTCTATTCCAACTTACAGTATGTGGAGAATTTAAAATTTTAGTGTACCTAAGAATAGAGAATCTACAGGCCTTTTAAGCAGTTACTTGAGGGAACACTACATTGAATGGATCGGCACCACTTTTAAAGAGGGGGAAAAAAAGGAGCAAATTGGAGATACAAGCCAAGGGGTAATGAATGTGTCATATTGGACAGCATTTCATAAATGGCAACAGTGTCATTGCATGATGACCAGTGGAACGTAGTTCATATAGCATCACTGAGCATCGTTCTATTATGTAATTCTTCATAGGGCATCTTTATATGAGTATTACAGTTAATCATGGCAGATCTGGAACTTTTATTAAGCCAAGTACAAGGGTGGCTTGTCTGCTGTGTACTGCCTGCAGTTCAATCTACTAAGTATTGATGATCTTATTTGGCTGAGGGGACACTAATGCATTAACATTTGAAGAACACTGGTAAAACATTTGGTTAGGTTGAGTTAAGTATATTTCTAATATATGAGATAAATGGCAATTCAAATAATTTTAAACTTTTTATTGAAGCTTACGAACAGTAGATTTAAGCAACAATCATATTGAAACTCTACCAGGCCCCCTAGAATGGGCTTCACTGAATTTACGGGAAGTCATCTTAAACTACAATCAGATTTCTATCTTAAATCTGGACATGCGCAAAGATACAAGCAGATGGTCACGGCTGGAGAAACTGCAGCTGTCTCACAATAAAATCAAAGAGGTAAAATATGTTGTAAAGTGATGAGGTTGTGTTTTCCTTATGCAAACCCCCTTTGACTATAACATCTCATTCTTTTCCAGATCCCCCCTGAAATTGGATTTCTTATAAACATTACTTGCTTTGACATAAGTCACAATCCAGATTTGAGGTCATTTCCAGATGAAATGGGAAAGCTTACTAAAGCTTGGGATCTTCCCCTGGAGGGCTTACATCTAGATTTTGAGTTGAAACATATAGGCAGCAAGGCCAAGGACCTAATTAGGTATGTTCTGTGCCCTTTCACTTTTCATTGTTTCTTGTGATAATACAACAAATATACATTCTATCTTTTTAAAATACCAAATTTGATGCTGCAAAGAAAGTGTTGGTGGGCATATTTTACTCGTGTAAATAGAATTTAATCTACTACTCAAATGTTTAATAATCCAAAGCAAATGGTCTGTAGCAGTGTTTGTCAGATTAGACAAGTAAAATGTTATATTTCATAAATGAATGTTTCTTTAAGTTTAATTTCCTCCCTTCCTCTTAAATGTGTGTGGTTACCTTATCTTTTAAAGGAAAACTGTCACTAAAATACTAATCTAACTTATATAATTTCAATAAAAGATCTTAAATAATTTAAGTTTTGTCTACATAAAATGGTGATTTAGCTATAAGCAGAGCATAATGGACAGAGGTGTTTTTTAATATGGGAACATACTGCTCACGTTTTCTATCGATGCAAGTCTTCATGGTACTTGTTGTGCAGCGATGTCCTCTTTAGCTGCCTCTAAATGGTGTGACAAAAGATGGATTTTACCAAAACATGTATCATTACCTTCCGCATCTGGTCAAATAAAGTTAGCTTTTTATGGAGCTATGGTAAGGTGATCTTTATTTGTGAAAGTGTATTTCTATAATAAGAATTTTCTACACTGTTACTTATATTGTCTACAGTCCAGTGAGCTTATCAAATAGAAGTTACTTTACCTGGTTCTAAGAAATCACTTGATTTGACATGCAGCTATCTTTCTATAGATTGCAGCAATATTTACAAATTTGGGATTTTCCTGTTGAGCAAAGCTTTCAAAATACTCAAACCAAAATGAAATGTACTTGTTTCCCTCTATTGGGGCTTGTTCACACCAAGTGCAGAGCAGTTGAAGAACGCATAAAAAATGCACCCAATGTATTCCAATGGTATTTTGGGCTCTAGTTCACACCACAGCGTTCAGTTCCAGTGCATGTGGAAAAACTACAGCAGGCACTATTTTTTTTTTTTCCTGCTCTGGAAAGCACGCAAACGCTCTCGAATGCACTGCACTACATCTGAAAGCCCTTTTTAGGCAAAAAAACAAAAATGGCCAGAATGCATCAAAAACATGTAAAAACGCACTGCATATGCAGAAACTCATCCAAATTTGATCCAGAGTTGGTGTGAACAAGCCTTTGCAGATAGCCTTGCAAATTTTCAACCAATGTTTTAATTTTTAATAAACATTTTAAAATGTTCTTATTTTGCAAAAAACAATGCTTGTCATTGAAACAAGCTGCAATCAATTTGCAGAACATTATGGATTACAAGTAGGGATGCGCCAATACCAGTTTTTTTGGTATAGAGTACGAGTACCAATATATATTTTTCACTACTTGCCGATACCAAGTACCTGTGCCTTGTGCCTCCTTTATCGGGAAGCCAGGAGGCAGATCAGGACCCGCCGCCCAGCTTCCTGATTGCCTGGGAATCCGGTGTTCTATTGAAAGAACACTGGCTTCACTTGCCAAGGCTGCCTGGCTTCCTGACCAATCGGGAAGCCGGGCGGCACATCATGACTCGCCTCCCGGCTTCCTGATTGGCTAGGGAGCTTCACTTGTTGCTAAGCAGCCTGGCTTCCTGACCAAGCAGGAAGACGGGAGGCAGGTCATTACGTGCCGCCCGGCTTCCTGGTTGGTTTGGAAGCCAGGCTTGCCTAGCAATAAGTGAAGTCGAATTCCTAGCCAGGAAGCCGGAAGTTCAGCTATAGGAGGCAAGTATCGCCCAAATACTGTAAAAAAAAATTAAAATACAACCGCTGCCTGATCACTTGTTAATTGCTAGTGCAGATGGCAAATCCAGATGTTCCTTCTCTGTTAAGAGAAATAGAAGGTGTGTGGGTGTCCCTATTCTGAGTAATTTAGCTGTGTAATTCATCTCCTGCAGTCTTCTCTCTGTTCACAGTATAGGCTAATTAGAGTACTAACTGCATATCGGCAAATCAGGGTTATACTACAATGCATAAAAATACTTTGGGGGAATTTATGAAACATGGTGCAGACAGAATCTGGAGCACTTGCCCATTGTAACCAATCAGCTACTCTCTTCAGTTTGTTCAAAAGGAAAGATTGATGCTGATTGGTTACTATGGGCAACTGCTGCAAATTATGTCTGCTCCTGTTTTGATGAACCCCTCTCATTCTGTCTAGCCATGTTGATAAATTGATCTCTCTCTCTTAGATTTCTTCAGCAGCGCTTGAAGAAGGCAGTTCCTTACAACCGCATGAAACTGTTGATCATGGGAAACACAGGACGTGGCAAGACAACACTGGTGCAGCAGCTAATGAAAGAGAAACGCACAGTGAAAGGATCAGAAAAAGCCACTATTGGAATAGATGTAAAGGACTGGCCCCTCTTGATCAGAGGGAAAGTTAAAAAGGAAATCACACTGAATGTCTGGGACTTTGCAGGTGCTAAGCATATATATCTTTTTTATACATTTTCTAGCTCTGACGTCTTTCAGTCACTGCCTGTGCAGCATTAAAACACTGGCCACCATAGGCAACAATAGCAACATCAGATGGTGAGATTTTCTTGGTTTTGGGTTCAGGATTATACTGATGATGGGCCCCATCTTGGTGGTGTTGGCCACTATGGTTCTGCAAACTGATGTGATAGTACTTTTATTTACAGTATTCAGGCCAAAGGTTCAACCAAGCTTAGGCTCTGTCTGCATGTATTGCACAAGCCAAAGGAAATGTGATCCAGCTAGAAGTAAAATAATTGACAAACTGACCAGAGCTGGAGTTTGTCCTAAATCTGGCACCCTGAAATTGAAGTGTTGGAGCGGCAGCACCAACTCCCTTTTGAAGCAACTCTGTCTCGTGATCATTTTGATTATTTGGTAATACTTTGGAGTGGCGCATCAATGCCTGCAGCCATCTCCTTTTCTTAAATCTTAACAACATCCTCACCTGGTTTCTATCCCCTTTTCACTGTTATTACCACCATCTGACTCAGACAAATCTTAATCATAATTACCGTATATGCCGGCGTATAAGACGGGTTTTTAGACCCAAAAACACTGCCCAAAAATCGGGGGTCGTCTTATACGCCGAGTCGTCTTATACGCCGGCAAATACAGTAGTATTTGTACTACTAATACAACTAGATAATTAGAGACTAATGCTGCTAGCTTAACTTCACATTCCTAGAATTGCTAATACCTTTTTTTAAATTTCAGTTCTCTCCTCATTACAACCCTCTGCTAGTTCTAAATCTTAATCACTTTCTAAATTTTAAGATTTGCCTGTTGACCTAGATTTTCCTTAGATGTAGATATTGAAATTCGATACAGAATGTGCCAATTATAATTCTTCTATGTAGCATTTAATTTTTAAATAGAATATATACAGCAAGCATAAAATTGTTATGTAAGAAAATATAAGAAAAAAAAAAGGTGCAAGACCTGCCACCTACCAACAGCATTATTAATTCTATTAGAAATCTAATGAATTGATTTTGCTTTTCCATTAGGCCCCTTTCACACCTCGGTGTACCAGCATCGCATTCTTGTGCGTTCATGTGCATTTTTTTTCCTGCATTTGCCCCACATCACCTATTGATTGCCATGGATGTCATGTGTGTGACAAATGCAGGAAAGTATCTCATGTAGCAGATTCCACTACAGGTGTACTGCAGGTATACGCGCATTTGTGCATGTTTTGGTGCACGCCTGGGAAAAACTTGCATTTTCCCGGCAGCATTTGGGGTGCCAATAACAAGTAATGACACCACAAGCGCAACGCATGTTTTTGACGTTGTCAAAGCACGCACATTACATGCGTGTGGCACGCCTTCTTGGAATGTGAAGGTGTGAATGGGGACTTAAAGATGTGATAATCAAATTTGCTCATCAGAAAATTGAATTTTTTATTTTAATATTCCTAAAGTGCATTTATTTCTTATACTGAACCTCTGAATGTTCCCCTTAAATCTAATTCTTCATAAAAAAAATAAAACTTCTAGTGTATTTCAATAGTAGTATCTTATGTTGCATTAGAAACACAGTGACTTAAAAAAAAGTTTCTCCATGGAAACCAAGCATATACAAAAATGTGCCTTTTTAGTTTTGCATTGTTTCAGTGCTTTTTTGGTGGGTATGTTATGCCTGAATAAGATCTATTGTAATGTAATGTTTTTCTGTCTTATTTAATTACAGGTCAAGAAGAGTTTTATAGTACTCACCCACATTTTATGACTCCACGTGCTTTATATCTTGTGGTTTATGATCTCAGTAAAGGAGCATCGGAAGTTGATGCTATAAAACCATGGCTTTTCAACATAAAGGTGAGTCCTTGTATACTAAATGTTGACTTAATTTAATATGATTGAGAAAAAAGTTTACATTCTATGTATTTTATGGATCAGTCACATTACTGATTACTGATGGCAAGCTTAAAATAGACTGCTGATTTAGATATTTTTTTTCTCTTTTTTTTTAACATGCTAAAAAAAAATCTCAGTGCTATTTTGTGCACTTGAATCGCTTTCATTTGTGTTTTTTGTTTTCCCTGTGTGTCTTTTAGTTAATTAATTTCTTGTTTATCATGCTGTGTGGTAACCTTTATGCTTCATAGACTGTACACTTCTCTGGGTGGCTATAAACCTGTTATATCCCAAAAAATATAGTTGGCGCAATAGACTCTGCAAGATCAAAAGTGCTACGTGAGCACACAATGCTCGTCTGACAGCGTTGCAAACATGGTACTGCGGGTTTAGGGTTCTATATACTGTATACAGGTTTTTAATTTCATATAAATATACATTCTTTTTTATGTGTGTGTGTGGTTAAACTTTGATGGACTTGTGTCCTTCTTCTTTTTCTTTTTTTTAACTGTACTTTGGCTTAATAGCAAAGGAATAAAAAAGCAATAGTTTTTAAACAAGCATCTACAACCACTAGAGGCAGTAGTTAACACCTCTGGGGAGTTTAAAATAGGCCTAAAAATAACAAGTGATGTTTGGATTAAAAAGTATTGATTGAATGTTTCTGTAATTATCAATCTGTCTTCAGTTACCGTTGTTGTTTGCTCCAAAAGTCTTTGTCTTCAGTGGCAGTCATTACTGTGAGTTACTAGTTTAACTTGCAGTTTCAGAATATGTGTTCAGTACTGTTTTTATCATGTATAATATGGGCGTTTTCTTCCATTTTTTATTTAACCTTTTTTATAACCCCCTGCAGGCTCGTGCTTCATCTTCTCCTGTTATTCTTGTGGGGACACACCTAGATGTTTCAGATGAGAAACAGCGGAAAGCCTGCATAAACAAAATAAAAATGGAACTATGTAATCAACGTGAGCTTCCATGTGTCCAGGATTATCACTTTGTGAATGCTACTGAGGATTCTGATGCTTTGGTGAAGCTTAGAAAGTCCATTATCAAAGAATGTTTGAACTTCAAAGTAATAATATCTCCAGCAAAATTCCAGGCAGACCTACAATGTGTATTTAATGAAGTTATGTGTATTTATTTAAAAAGTCATATTTTTTTGTTACATCCAGCTAGTTTAAGTACTTGAATCTGATTTTGGTATCAGCCCCTTGTAATCACTTGTACAACAGAAATCAGACTGGTGGTGGCAAGGGCAGCACTTGCTATAGGACCATGCTTAGAAGTGGCAAGAGCAGTTTGAGAGGTGAGCTGCTGCTGCACCTGCACCGTTCAGTCACAGGCATGAATTAAAATACAAATCCCCTGGCAGAACAAACAGCTCCCATATATAACTTTGAACGGTGTATTTAATGGTTTGCCTTAAGTTCGGCTTTAAATCATTTGCTTTTCATTTTATTTGCAGGTTTAGCTTGAAATTTGTCATTGCTTTTGAAACTTATGTTGAATTCAGATTGCTTATTTTTTTTTAATACTGTAATCCTAAACAAAATTACAATGTATACCCGGTGAAGAAGGTAGCATTATATTTACTTGTCCGGTGGACTGTTTTCTGAAACTCGTACAATGTAGCACAGCACCTGGTACTGATCCTAACTTGCGCTTCTGGCTGTATGGAAGAACATGTCTCCCCTGGACTCCTGTTTCACCAATGTTTCCTGCAGTGACTAGTGGTCAGCAGGATAGACTTTTTGACAAGCCCGAGGAATTGTGTTGGATTGTTGCTGGGAGTTCTGCTACAGAGTGACGTTTTAGCAAAATTACAAACAGGCAGATAAGTTGATGGCTGCTTTCTTCAGGTTACTGCTGTTGTAATTCTGTTACCCCCTGACAGGGTTACTTTAAACATCTATGGTAGCCTCAGGCTATCAGTTTGCAGGTTTTTAGGACATCAAAAATTGTCCATCATTAAATCAATATGCATTTTAACCAGGGTCCCCATACATTTATTGTAGGATTCCAGCTAGCTTGACAACTCGCAGGTTGTGCATAATTTAGACCAGGGCTCAAAATTTCCACTCGCCTACTCGCATTTGGCGAGTAAAAATAAAGTGGAAATTTGGGTCTCCCAAGTTCCAGTCCGCGGGCCGGTACTATGTGGCTCGCAGCCAGCTGACATGTCAGGCACACGGTCGCAGACCGCGTACCTTACTTGCGGGAGCAGCTCCACCGTCTGCATCTGTGTCGAATGCAGACCGCAGAGCTGCTCCTGTCAGCTCCGGCTTCCTTCGCCCGAAGCTCTGACAGTTCTGAGCTCCAGCTGAAAGAAAGGATGTATGTGAGAAGGATCAATCCCTGGTTATCTGGGGGTGGTTAGTGAGATCTGCTGCAGACCTCTCTAATCACTCCCAGATAACCAGGGATCGATCCGGCCCACAGCCTCCTCCCTGCAAAGACGTGAGGAGGCGGGGGGCAGTGAGTGTGTTATTATTTTGTGTGGGGGAGGTGTTTGTAAGGGGGAGGGTATTATTTTGTGTGTGGGGGGGTTAATAAGGGGGAGTATATTATTTTGTGATTTTAAGCTGCCTATACACCTTACAACCATCACACGACGTTCGTTATGCGATGGTTGTTAGGTCATTAAAATTTAGTACGATCTGCCCATCTTGGACAGCGCTTGCGCACATCGGCCGTGCGGCATTCGTCTTCCGACCACGCCACCAACCCGCCAAAAATCGTACGATTTTCAGCAGGTTTTCCAGCGTGCTTGGAAGACGAAAGTCCTACAACCTTACAGTAGAAGCAGTCGCACGCTGCCCATACACCTGCCGATTACCGTACGATAATCGACAGGTGTATTGGCACCTTTAGTGTATGTGTATATTAGGCCCCCTACAGTATATTTCAGGTGTGATTAGAGATTCCTGTATCAGGAACTTTCGTTTTTCTGCAGCAGGAATCACTAATCTGCCGTTTACACGCGGCAATTATCGTAAAATAAGAATTATCATAAGATTATTTAAGAGGGTGTGTTCAGGGGCGGAGTTCAGCCCTGGGGCAGGGTAAGGGTTAGATGGCGCCACTGGTGGCTAGTATCTCTTGAGGCCTGGCTAGTAGCGCAGGACTTGACATTTTGAGCCCTGATTTACGCTACCTGCATCACAGGTATTGAGAGATCAGTGAAGTTCAGCTTCTCTAGAGCAGAAGGAATTGGTGCTATGTAGGTGATTACAGAAGTTAATTTAAAATTTTTACGCAAAATCCGTTGCAGTGTTTTTTTAATACACAACTTTTAAAATTCTGTAAAACTTCCATGTACAATTTTGTAAAGTATTTTAGCAAAATTCTGTGTTTTGGTGGTATGCAACAAAAAGCTTTGAAAATAGAGGAATTTTTATCAAACATTCACACATGGAATAAAGCGCCACGTTTTACCAGCAAATGATGATTCTAGTATGGTTGTTGGTAGGCAGAATTATCTGAAATATTTCATTTGTCGTGTCATGTAATTAGTAACATATTTAGTAATCTTTGTTTTTTAGTAAAATGCCAATCCATATATTTATGTGACAGCAATGATTCTAACACCTATGCATTAGTTTTTTTTATGGTTCATAGAAACATGTCCGCCTTGAAATTGTTAGGAATCAATCATACCAGTTCTACAAGTAAAATTAGTTTTATTTTAATTGTTTTAATTTTAAGCAGTAACATTTTAATTACGTATTTTTGTACAGATACGAGACCAGCCAGTTCTGGGACAGCTTATTCCAGACAGTTACCTTGAGCTTGAAAAAAGAATTCTTATTGAAAGAAAAAATGCCCCTGCTGAATTCCCTGTAGTCAGCCGTAAAAGGATGTTGGAAATTGTAGAGGAAAACCAGTTGCATTTGGATGAAAATGAACTTCCACATGCAGTTCATTTTCTAAAGGAGTCTGGTAATGTACTTATTAATCCAATATTTTTCTTGCCGAGATGTAGGAATTGAACTTTTAGCCAGTAAACACAGCCTGATGGTAATTGAATTTTAGTGGCATGTACCATCAGCATTTCTAATATACTTGACTCTGTACTTTCTGAACTAAAGAGTATTTCGCTATATTGCAGTTTATATTATGTACTTATTGAACTTCTACAGGCTTTTAGAGCGGCAAAGGATGCATTTTCCCTTACGTAATTTCAAAACTTAGGCTGAGTGTTTCTTTTTAGAAATACAAGTAATTAAAGCACGTAGCATGGTTTCAAAACTTAAAGACTTGCCTACCTGCTGGGCCAGGAATTGTTATTATGGGTTTTTATTTTGTGTACATTGTTTTTGTTCCAATTGTGCATGCAGCTTGAGTGTTCATTTAGGTGTTTAGGCATCTCTAATTTTTAGCAACGGACAGTGATTTTGTTGTGCTTTTTTTTTTTTTAAACTCACCATACATATTCTAAATACAGCCAATTATTCCTATAAGCCACAAAATGCAGGTGCATTTGTTCAGAATACCACATTTTACTATCAGAACTAGTAGTAGTAAAAAATTAACTTAATGAAAACATGCTATTCATTACTACGTTGCCTTTCTATTCTGTTATTGTTTTTGCATGTGTACAAGCGTTCTGCTTAATCTGTACTAATTATTGCGGACCCTGAATGTTAATTGATGATGTTGATGCTTATATTTTCATAGGGGTGCTATTGCATTTCGAGGATCCTGCTCTTCAGCTTCAAGACCTGTATTTTGTGGATCCTCAATGGCTTTGTAAAATCATGGCACAGGTGATGCATTAATGTCCTATTGCAGTAGCTTGCTTTAACTCTTATGAACAAACTCAAATTTAGTGGTGTACTTCACAGCTTACCCACTTCCTTTCTGGCCACTGTATATAAACGGACAGTAGTTGGCGTGGTTATTCTGGGAAGACGCACCTGTACGTCCTCCTTGAATGTTCCAGTACATCCTGCTGTGACATTAAACTGTGGAGAGCATCGGCTGCAGGCAAAGAGCTGATTGGACCAGCTGTGTGTTTGTTATGGCTCTGATGACCAATCACATGGCAATGCTTTCATTACCAAGCCATTCCCTTCCTCATACAACAAAGGAGAGAACGGGAACAAAATATTTAACAATGTATTAGTCTCTGATTAAAAAAGCTGCAGCAGCACCCACAAATGATAAAGCTTATAATCATTCGTAACCCTTGATCTGTGCCCCAACATTTAAAAAAAATAAAAAAGTTGGCAAATAGGTAATAACTTGTCTGTGCCGCTCACTCCCGGCTGTAGAACCCAGCTTACGGAATGGCCGTGCACGAGGAAGTGTGTGTGTGCGCATGCACACTCAATATTACCAGAGGGGAGAGGAGGAGAGACAGTGTATCTAAAACCTCTGTTTTTAACCTTAGTGTTTAGACAGGTTTTTTTTTGGCTTGTGGGCTTGTGAGCGTGCTGGGAAACTTTTTGCTGTTGTACTGTATAAAGCCCTTCCATGTGCACCTTGCTTGAAAGCTGGTTATGTGTTGATGAGTGCGTTTGCCATTTGTTTTGCTTGAGTGTAAGTGAAAGCACGCAGCCAGGAGCATGCACGCAGGACAGACTCCATAGGACACATAGGAGTCTGCACTGGATCGGAGAGCGGCACCAGCGCTGGAGGAACTGTGGCAAACGAGTGGAAGGAAGATGATCGCATCAAGAGGCATCACATAAGGTAAGTACTTCAAGCAGCATTGGGGGAAAAAATTTGAGCCTTTAATGTCACTTTAACCCCCTTCACCTTCCTTTATACTGCACATCTGTACATTACCTTCACCTCCTCCCTATGTGTATGACCTGAACATTTAGTGTATCTTGTGCACCATTACCAAGTTCCAGTTTTAACCATCTCAATACCAGCATGTCTTTTTATTTCCAAAAAAATGTGGCAAAAATTAGATCACCTCGGGGTGTCTATTTTCCAAAAAGGGGTCATTTTGGGTGTTTTCATGCTGTCCTGGCCATTTTTCTTCTTTTTTTTTGCAATGTTCTCGAACAAAAAATTTAAGGGAAATTGTAGTATTTAAAAAAAAAAACATTTGGGCACAGTGGTTACTCAATTTGACCAAAAGATTACTCTAGATGTATCGAAAAACATATATGTGAAATTCTGTGTTGTATGAAGGAGTAATTGTCAGTCAAGCTTTTTCAGCACTGAAAACCGTTCAGTAATAACGGTGATTAATACTGAAATGTATTTTTGTTGATTTTCTCATTATTGTAAGTTTCATAGAAATAACTGCAAAACTGTCATGATGTATGTGTGTGTGTGTGTGTGTGTATGTATGTATGTATGTATGTATATGTGTGTGTGTGTATATATATATTTCTTTCCAAGAAAAAAAAGTTTCCTAAAAACTACATGTCTCAGTACTTCAAGCTATTGGAAAAGTTCCAGATTGCTTTACCCCTTGGTGAAGACCAGCTTCTCATTCCAAGCAGGTATTTTAGCACAACTAGTCTTTATATTCTTTTAGGGGGTTTTTCCGCTTTAAATCAAAAGCAACCCAAACATTGATTGTGACAACTTTTATTAAATATTTCAGTGCTGTTATAAATAAGTAATCTGACTAGTCTATTTATGTGGGGACGCACTGGGGGCCCCAGCATGCATTTTGCATTGCTGGGCCTCCAGTGTGTCCCTGCACCTTTTGAGGAGGAGTAGGCAACCTCCAGGTACACCTGCATTTAATTTATCGACTGCATTAATATGCTCTAAAATGGAGACTCATAAAAAGAGTTAGGACCACACTTCACAGAGGAGCCTTGACAGGGCAATGCGGCTTTTACATATTTTTGGCCAAAGGTTTGTTTAACGCATACTGTTGACAGGGTACTTTGCTTTGTTGCAGGCTAGCTGGCAGGTGTGCTGGGGACTTTTTTTGTGTTTTGTATTGCTGTAAGCCTTCCCATGTGCACCCTGCTACAAAGGCTGCTTATAAATTTATGCGGTTACCATTTATTTCTAGTTATTAGGGAGATTCGCCCTCATGAAAATTGTTAGATGACACGGCAGTTAAGTTATATGTTTTGCCCTTCTCTCATTATCTTTACTGTGTTCTCTTCTAGGTGAAACCAGGGTTTGGATACTTGGCCATGCCTTAATCTTTTGGTCAGGGATTAGGGGCTTATGTTGGAGAGACCTTAAAGATCTAGTACTGCCCTTAATGTTTAGGTGACCTCTCCTATTTTGATTATACACTCTGGGTAAAATAAAAATAAAATACCTATTCTCTGAGCTAAAAAAAGGATTTACTCTTTCTTTGATTTCTTTTCCCTCATACTACGCTAATGTTTTTCCTGGAATTATCCCTGGAATCATATGGTTAGCTTCTGGGGATCTTGGTTACATAAATCAAAAATACAAATAAGTCAGGAAATGCACTGGGGCCTTCCAGAAATACATGTCCATTTTGGAATCTGTTCTGATCTTTTTTTTTCAGGTTTTCCTATTGACATGTGGGATTAGTGGTCTGAAAATTGGCCTTTATGTTTTTCTTGTTTGGTTAGAGAAAATATTTTGTTTTGCTTGGGGAGCCTTTCTAGTCTACAGTTTAGTTGGTCAGCTGGCAGGGCTTTCATCTAGAGCAGTGGTTCTCAACCTATACCCAGGTCGCACCGCAGTGAAACGCACAGCATTGTGGTACCGCACGTTCCGTTGCAGCCGATCAAATTGTGGGTGGGAGGTGCGTTTGGGGTGCCATTCATATGAATGGCAATGCAACAGAACGGGACTGTGCGATTAATGCACTGTACTAGTGTGAACGGGCCATATGTGCATTGCTGGTACAGCTCCCAGTTGTGCCCTGCAGAGGTGCCGGGAGCCAGAATGTGACGTCAGTCTGGTCCAGGCATCTCTACGGGAAATGCAAGGGTTCTGTAAGCAATGCACATATGGATGGAGCTCCCTTGCTGCCCATAACCCCAGCCCACCCCACCTCACCTCACCTCAAGCTGACACTTGGCATCAGGCAGCATGAATAGCTGCTTGGTGTGAGAACTGACAGTGCTGCGCTAGGGGGAGGCTGAGGAGCCTCTCAACTAGAAAAGTGGAAAGCGTGCCGTGACCCACTGAACACGGGTCGCGACCCACTTTTGGGTCACGACCCACCAGTTGAGAACCAAGGATCTAGAGGGACAACTTTAATTTTGAGTTCTTGTGTTGTTTATATTTATGTGGTCATCCTGAGCTTTATGGCTAGGCATTTTCATTTAATGAATATCTTTGGGTTAGCCCTTAAGTAAACACCACAGCCTTTCATGAGAATATTTTGAGTTTAGTCTATTTTTTCTTATATTTTTGGACACTATGGACACTAATATACTCACAATAAGGCCCCATTCATATCGGTAGGTTTATGTGTGATTAGTGATTCCTGCATCGTGACCTTGCGTTTTCCTGAAGCAGGTATCCCTAATCTGGCGTTTACAAGTGGCCGCTGTCACCCATTCAAGTTAATGATCAGGTGACAGTAGCTACATGTAAACGCCTTCATACCGCATGTAATAATATGTGATATTATTACATGCGGTTAGAAAATACTCTCCCTGGATTCACAATCGATGCGTCCAGGGAGAGCGATTCCTAACCAAATGTAATCATATAACATATTGCATGTGGTGTGCAGGCATTTACATGCAGCTGCTGTCACCTGATCATTAACTTGAATGGGTGACAGCGATCACTTGTATATGCCAGATTAGGGATTCCTACTGCAGGAAAATGCAGGTTCCTGACTGTCAAAGACAGCTAATAGCATGTGAGAAAATTAAAATAACACTAGTCCTTCCCGATGTTTAAAAATTACACATTGCAGAGAGAGATCAGGTGCTCGCTCATAGAGCTCTTCCACACTCCTAATGTATTCAGTCTGTAAATCGCAAAGAGCCATACTCTGATGCCAAAACACCAATAAAAACAACTTTTTTGACTACAACAAGATTCTGCTCAGTCCCTCTCAAGGTCTGCTCTGCTCTAACATGTTTCACCACAAAAAGAGGTCACAAACAGAGGTAAGGACAGCTGGCGGTTCCAGCCTTCATTTTCCATTGGGAAAGGTGGGAGCTGCTGATTGCCGCCGCCATTTTAAAACTGAGCTGGAACACATAATCCCTATCCCAGTACCATTTTAAACAGCGGTTTAAACTGAAGAGGTTAAGTTTAGGTTGGATTGTTTATAATTTGTGTGTTTATGCTGAGCTTTTTGGCTAGATTTGTGTTACTTTTACCTGCCTGATTTAAAAAATATCTTTATATTTGTGTTACCCACCTTAAATAAACACCTTGGCCTTTCAGAGTTTTTTGTCTTTTATTTTTTTTTAAATTTTAAATGTTGGTTTTGTTTGTTCTTGAGATTTTCGGTAATGTGCGACTGCAACCAGTGGGTTTTAATTGTTAATGGTTGTTTGTTGTCTCATAGACTACCTATTTATCTTAAGCAGTCATTGAAATTGTGTCATTTATTAGGTGTGTAACACCCATGGTAGAAAATATGCAGAAGTTGTACTTAAATTATAACTAAAACTAAAAGCAAAAAGTTAATATATTACAGCTTACCTTATGTGGTGCCTGCATGTGTTTTGTTTTTATAGATTAACCACTTGAAGACCAGGGTGTTAAACCCCCTTCCTGGCTTGGCCATTGTTCAGTATTCAGTGCTTTGGTTCTTTGACGTTTATTCCGTCATGCAACGTTGTACTGAAACAAATTTTATACCATTTGTTTTGGGGACATATAAAGCTTTCTTTTGGTGGTATTTAATCACCACTGGGGCTTTTATTTTTTCTATATAACAAAAAAATTAGGGCTGCGGAAATTAACGATTAATTCCTCGATTTAATCGTAAATTTTTTTGATTAACATTTTTTTGATCGTTACTCACCTCTTTGCCGACTTCCGGGATGTCCGTAACGCCACCGGACTCCTCCCCCCCTTCCCCGAGTGGCTCCGTAGGCTACCGAAGGGAAGGTGGGAGGAGTCCGGTGACATCCTTCTATAGTGCAGTGCATGCTGTGCTGGTTTTCCTGCTGTCACAGATCTCTCCACCATTGAAGACGCCGCTCTCAGTCTCCAGCTCAACCCCTCCTGCATCGTGGGTTTCTGTCTCACTCTGCTGACATCCAGAAACCACAAGTAGCCTGGGTCGTCTGACCCTACCTTCAGTCCTGTTACAAACGTTATCCTGATCGTTATAACTAGAGGTGGACTGGGATTGCTTAGGGAACAGCACCACCTAGTGGGGACTCCTAATAGAGCCTGCTGCTTATTTCCTATGAGGTATACTGGACTATGCTATAAATGCATGGAGATAACCATTGATGATTATTGCCTATACCCTAGACCAGTGCCCCCCAACCTTTTTATCGCCGCGGACCGGTCAACGTTTGATAATTTTACCGTGGCCCGCTGAGGGGGGACGTTGATTGTTTATTAAATCAAAACAATCTAAAATATAATTTTAATTTAATTGTATTTAAAAATGCCTTCAAAATAAAATACAGTTACACCAAAAAATGAAAGCTTTGGAATTCTTCACCTATTCCACCACCGAAAAACTGGGCGAGATTACGTTAAAATGTGTGACCACGTCACTGGTCACACATTCTAACGTAGTCTCAAACTTTGATAGATCACATGCCTACCTGTAATCATTTAATCAGAGAAATAGATTATGATAGGGAACATTACAGTGTAATATTCCCCATTATAATTCACTTTTCTAATTACATAAAATAGCAGTACATAACAGAGAAATAGATTATAATAGGGAACATCGGGACCGTGCACTGCCATATATTGCATGACCGGACCGCACTGAGACTGTGCGGCCCAATACCATTTGATCTGCGGACCGGTACCGGTCCACGGACCGGGGGTTGGGGAACACTGCCCTATACTGTGGATTACTGAACTGTGTAATTACTACTAATTTATAACTCCAATACTGATATTACTCACAATCTGTGTGGTGACTTCTGAACTGTGAGGTTACTACCTAGTGTTACTACCAAGTTTAACCAACTACATTGGCCTATACACATACAGCACAGCAATGAAGTAATAAAATGAACTAGGATCACACTAATCCAGCACGTTATTATTCTGAATTGCCCCACTCAAGTGGCGGCCATATTGAGTGGGCACAAGAGATTAATAACGTGCTTGATTAGTGTGATCCTAGTTCATTTTATTACTTCATTGCTGTGTTGTATGTGTATAGGCCAATGTAGTTGGATCTGTATGTGCGTTATAATTAATCAATTAAAAAAAAATGTTTATTAATCGAACACGAAAATTTTTATGATTAACAGCCCTAAAAACATTACCCTAAATTTGAAAAAACTTTATGAAATGTTATGAAACATTTATTATCACCCCAATTTTTTGGTAAAACATAAAAGACAGGGTCATGTCAGGTAAATAGACACCAAACATGTCAAGCCGTTAAATCACAGAAAACGACCACACCCAAAATTGGCCATAGGCGATGCTTTAAACGCTTTTACCGCTCATCAGTTTAGTGTCATCTGTAATTAATGGCCCTAACATTATTGCACTCACTCCGTGTGCGGCGTAATGGGCGCAATCGTTGTTTTTGCAATAGGCGCACCCGACGCATGTGTATGTGGCGGGGCAGGAGACTTTAACCCCTTCGTGACTGACGACGTACAGTGTACGTCGCCAGCATCGGGGCTGTTTAAACAGACTCCCGGCCACTTTTGCCGCCGGGACTCTGTTTAAACTTGTAGAGCCGACTGTCGGCTTTACAACAGAAGCGATCCTGGCGACTTACCTGTCGCCAGATTGCTTCTGTGTCCCGAAGAAGGGGCCACCCCGCCGGACACCGCCGCCGTGCTTCCCGGGCTCCGTTGCCCCTCCTTGGTGTCCGCGGGGAGCTGGGGAGGAGGTCGACGAACTTCCATTCATCGATCCCCTCCCCGTTCTATGGGACCGGGAGCGATGCAGATTGCAACTATTTTTTGTGTTATAAAAAAAAATTCACTTTTTTTTAGCTTTATTTTTTTTATGCTTTAATTTTTTTTAACTTATTTTTTTTTTTTACACTTTGGCTAAGAAACCCCCTATGTGATAGCCATTTCAAATAACAGGTCCTCTTTATGGAGACATCAGAGGTCTCTAAGACCCCTAATGTCACCTAGGGACCCCCAGAGAAGCTGATGAAGAGATCTGCTCATATAAGGCTCCCGTCCGGCCGTTGGACAGGAGATGGTTAAGAACATTTTTAGAAAGTATTGAAACATATGTTGATCCTACCAGAAATGCAGTGTTCTTATTTCCCTAAGCTTAACAAAGGCACAAACAACTTTATTTATCTTTTGTAAACTACTAATCCCAGTACGCTATACTAGACATAAACGCAGGCAAACATGTTTAAAGTCTAGCCTGTGTTGCAGCCATGGCTTCTTCCATAGATAACAGTGGAGGAATAAACGTAGCCACCCAGAGGCAGGAATTATGTTATTTGCAGGATTACCTAGTGAAAATAAAGGGAAAAAGAAAATGAATGTAGGCACCTCATCTAAGGGCTGGTAAGCTGCAAAATATTCAGTTTTAGTTTGTGGGTTTAGATACGCTTTAAAATGAAGCTCCTAATAGATGCATTTTGTTGGAAATGTTATAAACAGACAGTTGACTACATGCATATGTGGCTTTCATGTCTTAACAACTGTATAAAGGTGTCATTTGCTTTTATAGTTTATCAGATCACCGGCCTGTGATAGAACTGCCTCATTGTGAAAATTCAGAAATCATCATACGATTATATGAAATGTCATACTTTCCCATGGGCCTCTGGTCTCGGCTCATTACCAGACTTCTGGAAGTGTCCTCATACATGCTTTGTGGCAGAGGTTAGTGATTTACTTTTTGTATATCAAACACTTGTTTTGGTCAGGGCTGGCATTTGTGATATTTGGCATACAGCCATATGTGCTTACTACATAAATGTTATCCAGGGTTCTATCTTGATTTATATTTTTGTACTTCATTCTTCTGCTCTGGTGCTGTGTGCTTACAAACATTCCGTGGATGTTTTTTTCCTCGACTTTTGATGTTGCAACTCCGTTAAAGGAAACCTGTAATTAGAATGAAAGTGGGGGGTAGAGGGCTCACGTAACCAAAATATGTATGCAGAAAAGGAAAGGAAACTGAAAGAAAAATCACAAGACCATAAATATGGGATACGATCTGTGCCATTATAGTCAATGAACATATTTTCATTTCTGCATACTCTTCTACTCTTCGCAGACCTGCTTCCAGGTGTTGCTTGTGTTTCATAATAATTAATGTTAACGGTATTTTTACATAGGCCCTATTCACATCTCTGTATTAACAATGCACTTAACAACTCCAGGAAAATCACATACCTCTGCATTGCAAGGGTTAAGTGCTTGTTGTGTCTAGGGGAGTCAAATAAAGCTGTATTATTAACCTGCTCCTTGGTCCTGCGGTGGTCGGTACTTGTTTCTCTCCCCCCTTCATTTTGGCTATGGAATGTCCCTGGGTCAGTGGGCCTGCATTAGATGTGATAATGTCAGCGGTCCTTAGACTACTGGAGCCCAGGGGAGAAGAGGTTACGGGGACTAGTCTAGCACCCCGCAGGGTTTGAGGATCAGGCAAGTAAATCTCCTTGAATTGCATCCCCTAGACAAAATGAGCACTCAAGCTTTACAATGCAGAACTAGCCCCACTGCATGGGTAAGGTTCTGAATTTTCTCGGTATTCTTCTTTAAGTGCATTGTTGATACAGAGATGTGAATACCGTTAACAAGAATGGAAAACTTGCCTTCACTAGGTTTATTAATAGAGGAAATGGGTAGAAATTATATTTCCCTTGAATAAAAATGCAAGAAGGTAGAATAAATGTACAGCGTTCATATCAAGTGAAACCACCATACTGCTGCACTAATGAACATCCTACATTGAGGTGGACAGTCAGTGACAGGAAAAGTACTGTTGAACCTCTTGTGTTAAATGTATTCGGCCATGCAAATTTACATTAACGTGAATGTTCTCTATACTCTATGTAAAAAAACTATTTGTATTGTGACTTTTGGAACCACAGAACGAGCACAGCGTCCCAACAGGATGTATTGGAGACAGGGTATCTATCTGAATTGGTCGCCGGAAGCTTACTGTTTAGTCGAGGCTGCAAGTCTACACAGCACTCCAAACAGTTTACTGAAAATCACTGTTCCATCTGGCAGAAAAGGTAAACCATGAATCTATGAAATACCAGTCATGTACGTGCATATTGGTGGAATGAAAATACTTAGGGTGATATATATGGAATAAAGGGAAAATATTGTGTATTTTCAGTGAGCACATATTTTGAGTTAGATCTGTGAAGGTTTTTATTTATCTAGGTCATGGAATAGCTAGAAGTAATAAGAGTGGCCAGTCAATTCTGAAAAGTGGCTTCTGCAGTTCATATGAAACCTACCTCAGTCCCTCAAATCCAGTTACCATGTTCTCATGGAATGTATTCTTTACACTTGTTAAAAAGCCTGTGTGTTGTTTTAAACATTAATCTGTATCTTTTTATTTATTGTTAGGTTGTATTTTGCTGGGGCATGTTGTGGATCATATTGATTCTCTCCTGGAGGAATGGTTTCCAGGTTTGCTGGAAACAGATATTTCTGGAGAAGGTGAAACTCTGCTGAAAAAATGGGTGTTATACAGCTTTGATGATGGGCAAGAGCACAAAAGAATTCTACTGTCTGATCTTCAAGCAAAAGCTGAGGAAGGCAAGCCAATAATGTTCTGAGATGCTATCTTTTTTCTACTGCAGCCAACTTTTGCCTGCCTGGTGACTGCACAGAAATTGAGAATATTTTTTGAATTGGGACGTAAATTGCCATAAAAAACAGCTTAGAAACGTACTTTTACTGCCAATTCCCCTCACTTCTATTTTTCTCCACATTATTCTAAACTAAAAAAAAAATGGTCTTAAATTGGGCAATAATAAATCATATGAATGTAATTATCTTTTTATTTTCCATGTCCTATATCTGGGGTGGGAACCTTTGGCCCTCCAGCTATGGTGCAACTACAAATCACATGATGCATCTGTCCTTCTCTTTGCTGCTCTTCCTTTTAAATCTGTATCTGTTCTCATGCTGGGCAGAACTTCTGTTTTGCAGCAGACTGCCTTGTCTCAGGAATGGATATATGGTGTCTGTGTATAGGTTTGTATAGGTTTGTAACCTGAGCCAGCACTACAGGAAGAGGCCCTGAGCTGCAAAGGGAAGTTCTCCCCAAGCATGAGAAGACATGAGGATTTAAAAGGAAGAGCAGCAAAGAGAAGGGAAACTACCATGGATTACAGTAAGGCACAGATTACAGTATTGGTTTATGTTAAAAAATCTGCGGGTTTAATGTCACTTTAAGTGTTTCTGAGTTTGCAGCCTTGACTTGTAAATAACCTTTTATGGTTAGTCACAAGGATAAGACTTAAGGCCTAATTTCGTACTAAAGTGGTCTCTGCCTTCCACCTCACCAGGACATTGGCCTGCCATCCTTATGTCTGGCATCAAAGCATCCTAAATAAATGTATTTCTATTGTTTGGGCATGGTTCGAGCTGTTTGAGTTTACTTATCTGCTACAGCTTCCATCCGCTAGTCTGACTCCCTCTTTGTCATTCTTGAGGGACCCCGTATGCTGCAGCCAGCTTTTTGTTCCATTATTGCTAGGTGGATTTGGCAAACTAGTCTGGCATCAAAGCATCCTAAATAAATGTATTTCTATTGTTTGGGCATGGTTCGAGCTGTTTGAGTTTACTTATCTGCTACAGCTTCCATCCGCTAGTCTGACTCCCTCTTTGTCATTCTTGAGGGACCCCGTATGCTGCAGCCAGCTTTTTGTTCCATTATTGCTAGGTGGATATGGCAAACTGACAGTCAGGCAAGGGCTCAGTCTACCAGGTGTTTAGTAGCTTAAATCTCTAAGGCTGCCACCTTTTTTGCTAAGCTTTACCTAGTGGATGCTGAGGCCTCTGCAGATTCTAGCTGCAGCCTCAGGGTCCTTCAGATAGCCCTCTAATATATGGGCCACTTCTGTTCCGGTTCCCCGTTGAGATTAGTTGTTTCCACAGGCCTGTTAGCCATTGCTTGCTGTGTTGTCTGCCCCTCTGTTCAGCTGCTTTGTATGTTAACTCCGTTGAAGAAAAAACTGTGTCCGGTAAAGAAGAATCAATAAAACAGGATTTTTGGCTTTCCTATAAAATCTGGTTCTTATAGTATATCACAAGCCATGAGACCCTCCCATAAACGGCCTGCTACACATCTGGGGCAGGCTGGGGGTGGAAGGGGTTATATAGGACTATCCTACAGCTTTGATTGATTTTCTGTGTGTCGTGTATCCTTTTGAGCCCAGCGTCTCACCCAGCTCACTGACTTTGCTAGTTGCCAGTAGCTGAGCGAGGTGCTCTGGCTGGCATCTCACCCTGCTCCTGGCAACCAGTGATGTTATGCCAGAAAGAGGTACTGTGCACCACCCCCCCAGCATGTGGTACATGGTTACCTACAGAATCCCTCCCCCATTCCACCCCCCCATGGAGAAAAGTGTAGGGACTCCCTGGGCTGCGATCCTCTGCAGCCTCCTGCCCTGTCAGACATTGGAAAAAGTGCTTGAAAGTATATATTTACCAGCTATGAAAAATAATAAGAAAGACTTGTAGAATAAAATGTTTTAGCACTATTAACATTAGTATAACTACAGTATGTTGTTTTTTTTACATTTTTTATAAAGGTACACTTGTAAATTTAGGTGATCCGTTGCTGTTGGGTTGCTGCAATTTGTAAATATACATACATTTTTACATTGCCCCTTATGATATGCATGTTACTTATATCATCCGGAAAATGATTACAGGTCATTAAGAAAGAAAGATATCTGAATGCATATAAAAGTAAGATTTTATCAACTTAAGTGTGATGTTTTAATTTGACAGGAGACTTACTGGTGAATCCTGAAGATCCAAGGTCTACAATTCCTATTTCTCAGATTGCACCGGACCTTGTTTTGGCTGATTTGCCCAGAAATATTATGTTAAACAGCGAGGAGTTGAAATTTGAGCAGTCTGCTGAGTTTTTACTGGGTTAGTGTCCTTTTCGATGTTATTTAATACCAGACCACTTAATTTTTCACTTTCTTTTCTGTTTCTCTTTTTTGCTCACTAATCTTATAGAATTGTCTATTATTGCAGGTGATGGCGGTTTTGGATCAGTTTATAGAGCTGTATATAAACACAAAGATGTGGCTGTTAAAATTTTTAATAAGCATACATCCCCAAGACTTTTAAGACAGGTAATTTCTGCAGTGTTTGTCTAGGCGTTATGATTTATTTTTCAGTAAATTTTATATAATTTTCTGAGTAAATTTTTATAATTATTTGATACATTTTTGATAATTTGCTTGTGTTTATAGATACTACTTTTAATTTGATTAAGCAGCTACCAGTTTTGTGTATTTTTGCATGCACATGAGAAATCTCTCAGTGCCAATTTGCATTTTTTTTAATACAGTACTGTGCAAAGGTTTTAGGCAGGTGTGAAAAAAATGGCGTAAAGTAAGAATGCTTTCAGAAATAGGTGTTTAGTTTATTTTTATCAATTCACAAAATGGAAAGTAAATGAACAGAAGAGAAACTCAAATCAAGTTAATATTTGGTGTGACCAGCCTTTGCCTTTAAAACCACATCAATACTTCTAGGTACACTTGCACACATATTTTGAAGGAACTCAGCAGGTACATTGTTCCAAACATCTTGGAGAACTAACCACCGATCGTCTGTGGATGTAGGCTGCCTCAAATCCTTCCGTCTCCATGTAATCCCAGACAGGCTCGATGATGATGAGGTCAGGGCTCTCATCAGCGGTTAAGCAGCTACTTTTTTTTACCCCCTGAAATGACTGAAATTTTCAAATGTTATCTGGGAGCTTTAGTGAACATAAAATCCTATTTCTCTCCCGTTCATTGAAGGACACAGGGAACAGATCGGAGATCATGTACTGTAGGGTAATATCGCCACCTGCAGGAGAAGGACGCTAGGCACAAAAAAACTAAAGACCAATTACAGCCTAGGGGCGGCCCCTGCCGGTGGCCAAACCCCCCACCTACTGAGAAGTCTCCAGTTTTT